CCCTGAACGTGCACGAGCTCACGCATGGCTAGGAGCGGAGGGAAAGAGCGGAGAGATCTGGACTTGTTGACGTCAGGCTGACAGCTGCTGCGCATCGCGAACAGAATAGGGCGCCTTGATGGCTTCCTTTGAGGGTGCCTTGAAGGATTCCCTTAGGGTTTAGGGTTTAGGGTTTAGGGTTCCATGAAGGGCTCTATACCAAGAGCTTTTGGGGATTTGGGTTTCAAAACCCATGCCGAAGTCATGAACAGCCGCAATAGAACTGTAACTGTTAAACATAGCTCAAAGGAGCACAGAGACTGAGACAACAAATCAGATGCCAAGGAATAAAACAGGTACACCTTGAAGCAAACCAAGGTAATGCATGCACTTGGAATATGAGGAATAAAATACCCCGAAAGGTTAAATGAAGGTTACATATCCTACTACTAAGATACGCCATGCTGGCGCCGGTGGAACCATTGTAAAAACATGTGTCACTGATCCCTTGGAGTTGCACTATATTGAAAACAAGAAATAATTTCTAAGAACACAAAACTATGAACCCTAAACCCTAATCCCTGAACCTGAAAAGATATCTCTAGGAAGCGGGAAAGTGTGCGACTCAGTGACCCTCGACCTAAATCACCCTCAAGGCCATCTTCAGCATCTCGGGTTCAGTGTACCGCTTCACGGCTCAGGGTTTTAAGGATTTAAAAGGGTTAGGGGGTTTAAGGGCTAGGGGGTTTAAGGGTTTATAAGGGCTAAGGGTTTAGGGTTTAGGGGTTTAGGGTTTAGGAGTTACGGGTTTAAGGGTTCAGGGTGTGGGAGCTACCCTGGCCTTAACCTTAAAACACGAAGCAACATGAGTCCGGCATTTACTTTCCAATCATCTCAGATGGGATGCGGCGCCAATTTCATCCCTTGACACGAAGCCAAGATTGCGATGTCCAAACCCTCAAAACCCAAGACCCCAACCAGCTGTACACTCTTCAACCCTGGACCCGTGACCCCAACCATGAAATCCTGCATGTCTCATGGAGGGTTTAGGGTTTAGGGTCAAGAAGTATGTTTTTGGAATTACCTCCTTGACGTAGCAGGAAGGTGAACGCCAGGAGGGCACTTCATATCTAGTAATCAAGTATATAGGGACTCGGGACTATACGGAAATCGTACTTCTGAATGTTCAGCGTTTAGGGTTTGAAAATGTAAGGGCTCATATTGGTGTCGATAGGCCTGGGGTTTAATGGTCTCAGGATGATTGAGGTTTCGGATGATATGCCAGCCTCTTTGCGCCAGCCATCCAACTCGCGATACTTGCCCATGAACAGATCGTCCACAGCCTTCTTGGCCAGCTCCTTGCATCCAGAACCTCACGCAGCCTCCACCTGAACCCCGAAACGCCCCGCCTTACTGCTGACCCTGGACTCTGAACCTTGAGCCCATCCACGCTAAACCCTTCACCCCAAACCCGGAACCTTCATCGCAACACCTTGAACACCTGTAGAAGGGGGTGTTATTGCGACTTACTCTGCTGGGATGATGTAGGATTTGTGCGGGCGACGGCTAAGGATGGTATAGCGGCTCCTTTACGGGGCTCCTTGTGTTACAGCGTGCCTTTAAAGCAACCCTGACAAGAACCCCCTAAAGGAACCCTTAAAAAATCAAGGAACCGTACCTTAAACCCTAAACCCCAAACCCGAGACCTAAAACCCTAAACCCTAAACCCTAAACCCTAAACCCTATGCGGGCTCCCAGAAAGTTTTCGGTGGTTAGGGTTTGAGCCCCCAACTCTAAGCCCCAAACCCCCGGGGGCCACCTAAACATCGGCATTTTGAGGTTTGGGGTGCAGGTGTCGGGTTTGGGGGGTTTGGGGTTTCCGATTTTGGGGGGGTTTAGGGTTTGGGGTTTCGGGTTTGGGGTTTCGGGTTTTGGGGGGTTTGGGGTTTAGGGTTCGGGGGCTTTTGGGGCTTTAGGGAAGAATCCATCACTCTCGCGGCTAGAAGGAGCATCAACCAAAACCCTAAACCGACAAGAACCCGACAACCCAGGCCCTCAACTCCAAGACCCAATGGTGCAAATTCAGCCTGAGACTTCACGCCTCCAAAGCTCTAAACGGTTTAGATGTTAGGGTTTAGGGGAACTCCCAACTCCAAACCCCTTAAGCCCTAACACCCCTCAACCCCAACCCCCAAAACCTCTTATAGTAGCCCTTATTAGCACCTTTGTCGTAGCCCTTGTAGTAACCGTTGTCGTACATAGCCGTATTACTCCCTACTATTGATTCGTAATATGAAAGGATATCGCATCGCATGACTAGGCAGAAAGGCCTCAAAACGCTGGGTACACGATCCGGCTTAGGCTTAGATCCTCCTCCTATTCCTATCCCTATTAGTATTACTGCCGTTGTCATTATTCCACCTCACAACAGTCATGTCTGTACAACTGTTGTTATTTTATTATCAATGTTTGCCATTAACATGAATACTTTTACTATTCATTATTGGAACTTCCGTTGTTGTATTTCTTTAAACCCTAAACCCTAAACCCTAGACCCTAAACCTATACTTATGTCTCTTTAGATCGCAATGACCCGTGAAACGGCTGCGGAGTCCTTGGCTCCCGCTTCTGCGACCTTGGCGTACTCCTTCGCCTTGGCCAACCTCACCGCGGTTCATGGCTTTAGCCTTTTGGGTTAGAGTTTAGGGCTTAGGGTGCTTTAGGGTTTAGGGTTTAGGGTTTTGGGGCCCTTAAAACTCTTTATGAACAGGTACCTCTGTAAGAACAATAAGGGAAACTTCAAAGTTTCGCACAATTGCCACCTAGGTTTCGACTTTTGGGCTATGTTAGCTGTATGGATGTAAGAGTGTGCGGCTTTAAGGTTAGAGTCCCTAGACCCAAAACCCTGAAAAGGTTAGAGTGCAGGCTTCACGACGGCTCGAAGGTTGGAGTTTTCCGGGGCTGTTTTTTTAGGGTTTAGGGTTTAGGGTTTAGGGTTTAGGGGTGCCTTCGGCATGCTGGTTTTGGGGGTGAGTTCAGGTACGGGGTTTAGGAATAATCTGCAGTTCGGGTGGGCTCACGGCTATACGCAACTGTCCGCGCAGAGGCCGAAAACGAAGGACGACGAGGGAGGCAACCAGAACTACGCACATGAAACACGTTTAGGGTTTACGGTTTAGGGCTCGCGGCAGCCGAGTGGTCGATAACCTAGCGGCCCACAGCCCTTTCATGTCCTTCAGAACATCCTGGTCGGAGGTGCGAATAATGTAGGGGCCTTAGTAATTAGAATAGGGTTTTGGGGTATATTATACTATAATTACAACAAGGAACCCGCAAAAAGTATAGCTCATTATTTAGGCCCCTATATTATCTCTCCTTCTCAGCGACATGACCATCTGACCTGTGTAAGCGGGTGCTCAGCTTCTTCTCAGTCTCCTTGTTGGAAAGAACTGTCCTCATCCAACTCGACCCTTAAACCCTAAACCCTAAAACCTTAAAACCCTCAACCCCAAACCCTAAACCCTGAACCCCAACCACAGAGTTGAAGGACTGGTGGCGCGGATCCACGACCGAGGGTTTGAGGATTTCCGTGTGATTTTGGGGGGGATCCTAGTTGCATTGTTTTTGGGGTTGGAGTGTAGGGTCGTAGGCTTTCCGGCTTAATTTTAAGGATCTTATGTGCATCGTTTTCGGGGTTGGAGTATAGAGTTTTAGGCTTTAGGAATTTTGGGTTTGGAGTGAAGGGTTTTAGGTCTGGCTTTGGGCCCGAGGGTGTCGGGTGGTTCTTCTGATTCGAACTGATACCACTACCATGGCTCCTTCTTCTGACTGCAGTGCAACAAGCTGCTACTATCTATTTCTATTCTACTACTACTACTACTACTACTACTACTACGACAACAACAACAACTACTACTACTACTCCTACTACTACTGCTACTGCTACTGCTACTGCTACTACTACTTTTTATACCTCCGGCACGCCAACTCTCAACCTGCTCGCTTCCCGTCAATCATCTCCGCACCTTCTCCCCCCCTTACGGGTTCAGGGGTTTAGAGTTTAGGGTTTTTTTTGAACTCCTTTTTGGGCCTGCCCACTCGTCCAAGGCACATCCAAGGTACAGGGGTTTTGGGTTTAGGGTTTGAGGTTTAGGGTTTAGGGGCTCAGGGTTTAGGGATTAGGGTTGAATTGTGAGACTTAGGATTTAAGGTTTCGGATTTTGAGCTCGGCCGAGGCCCCCGACTCCTCCTCCATCTTCTTGTCGCTCGCCTCCGCGTCCTTGACCTGAAGGTGTTCATGAGCGTAATGCAGGGGCCTTGGTAACTTATGTTTATAGGCAGAACAGCC